AAAAAAGTAAAAAAAAAAATTAATGGCATTTTCGTAAATAAAATGAAGATGTGGGGTGGATAGGACAAAAACAAGATGAGTTAAAAGAAGAAGTTAGTTTTGTGTTTGACCATGAGTTTTGAGTCAAATTTGCAAAAACCCCTAAAGCTTGTGTACCAATAGATCAGTATGATGAGACTCTCCTCTTTTATTCCATAAGTTAATATCATAATAATCACGCCCATTTTGATCAAAAAACTAAATAATCACACCCATAACTTGAAATTCTAATAGCTATAAAACAAAAGCTTTCTAAGTAACCCTGCTGTCAAAATCTAGTTTTCATTTTTCATGATTGTTTCACAGGCCCCACTATAATGGTAAATTGGCTAGATATACCTCGTGCTCTCGTATGTTGGGATTCTCTTGTTAGGTTTGTAAGTATATATGTAAAGCTTTACGTGATGAATAGAACAACACATTTTCAACATATTCTTCCTTAGTTTACTTGGTATCAGAGTCCAAGGTTCCGTGATCCTTGGTTTGAAGGGAGGATTATCAAAATAAATAAAAAAGCAATCCAAGTCCCACAACAGATATTAGACATAATAAAGTCTAATATATATAACTGGTCTAATCCCACTTAATATAAGGTCGTTTGGAAGTAATGACCCAAAAACAAATTTGTGAGGGTTTAGGTCCAAAGCAGACAATATCATACTAAGCGAGGGATTGGAAATCTGGTGACAGACGTTTGGCTTTAGTTGAACGTCTGGCCTCCAGCACGGGCACCAAGGAGGTGATCGTGGAGGTCGAAACAGAGGAAGGGGACGAGGTACGTAGGAGTCAACACCTCGTTCCAACGTGGCTCAAGCAGCGGCTGGAGCAGGTGCCCTGACACTTACTCATGAGCAGTGGGCCTCCTTGACTGCGTTACTTGATGGAGCAGTGGGCCCCCGTGCTCGCAGCAGCTCATGTCATCAACATAACACCGTCTAGCTTGCTTAATGGGAAGACACCGTATGAGTTTTTGTATGGCAAGCCTCCATCTTACGAAGACATCAAGGTGTTTGGTTGTCTGTGTTTTGCCCACACGGCTCGTCGAGACAAATATAAGTTCAAAGAGAGAAGCAGAAGATGTCTGTTCGTGGGATATCCATTTGGAAAACGAGGGTAGAAGTTGTATGATCTTGAGAGTTCATATCCATTCAGTCCGTTTGAGTGATCCTTCCCGATTTAGGGCATATCAAGTGGTATCAGATCCACTCAACCGGTATTATCTATCCATCTTCTCATCTTTCATTTACTAAACACTTCTTCTTCTTCTTTCTATCTCAAATCCGGGCCACTACCTTACTTATCGCCATTCTTCTATAAAAAAAAATAAAAAAAAAATCTATAAAAAAAAAGAAAAAAAAAGAAACAAAGTTCAATTTATTTGGCTAGGTGGCGGAAGAGAAATCCTGCTGGCTGAGGAGAAATCCAGCCTTGGAGTGGTTAATACGGATTTCAAAACCAATTCTCTTATCTTGTGTTTCATCCCTTGTTTGCTTGGAAAACGATTGGGTTACTTGATTTATTCTCTTAGACCATTGAAAAGAAAACTTTGTGTGATCACCATAAATCCGAGAGAAACACTTGAGTGGGTGAGATAAAAATTTGTGAGAGTGTGAGGATTATTTTTACCTGTTAACCTTTTGTGTTGAGAATTTTCAGGTTAAGATGTTTGGACTTCACAAGAAGAGTAGCCAAGAGAAATCCCAACAACAAGTTGTCTTTAAATCTTCATCTCATAACTTGTTGAATACTTTTGATGAGTTTGTTACTGTGCAAGAAAGGCAAAGAAAACCACAGGAGATGTTGAACATTAGGTGCAAAGAGGAGTTCATAACATCTAGAGTTGAAGCTGATCAAAGGAGGCATTTTCTTCAATTTGATGTCCAAGAGTTTTGTGACAATCTTGTGGAGGGAGTGGTGAAAGCACTCAAGGATGTCAGCAATAGCCACAAGAAGAGCACAACCACATGTGCACCTGTAGCTGAACCATCATTATTCATCAATGATAAACCTAAAGGTAAATCTGAAAACAACCTTGAAGATCTAAAAGATTTTTCAGATTCTTTACCCATTTTTTATGAGTATGATGAAGAGCTGATGGAAAGTTCGATCATTTGTGAGGATGAATGTAATCATCCTTCTCCAAAATCTGATTTTATGTGTGATAATGAAGAGACTAATGGACTAACCTGTTTTGAACCAGAGCATCCGAGTAATCTTGTTCTAGTTATACAGGATTGTGAGGAAGAGCAATTCAACTTCCCACAACAAGGACAACGTCTTGACAATAAGAGACCCTTGGACGATGGACTAGGCTCCATCTTTGATGAAGAAGACGAACTTGGTCCTACCTTTGATGAGAAAGCACCAAGCATCATATCCATCAACATGGAGAATCATCTTTGCTTTGATCTCGGCATGACTCCTACCCTTTTGTCTCCTAATCCACAAGAGCACTGTAATTAACTTGGTATCATCTTCTCTGTGCCTGGTTTGTTTGTTAATGTCAGTTCCAGTGACATAAAAAGTTTTGGTCTTGAAAAAGTAAAATAATTTTGTGTTTCAAATACTATTTTGATAACATGATTCATTCTTTTAAGAAACTTGAACCTGATAAACTCTTTGATCAAAAACATTTTCAAAATGGCAATAACATTTCTTCTGGTCTTCTTTTGAGCTTTGATCAGTTATTGAAACATAACAAAGGTTTTGATCACCTTGGAAAATCAATTGAGATTGTTTTGCAACAACCAGATTTATGTTTCCGAAAACCTTGTGATTCCTTTCTTTGTTTTAAGGATAATGGTTTTGATCTGAGTTTTCCTAGTCATGAACTGATCACTGATGATTTGTTTTCTCCCACATGTGCCTGGAATGAGCTAATGGTTAGTAAGTTGCAGAAAACAAAATCACTTAGAGCTGAAACCGATTATTGTTGTGATTTTGTTTTGAAACCTGCCCATTCTTATTCTGAATCTGATCTTGAACTTTTGTGTCCTGATTCTGATCATGTTAGGCACGTTTTGAAATATCTTGCCTTGACAACATTCTGGTCTACAACACATTCTTTGAATTTGAGCCTTTGATCAATGTTTCTCAATATGAACTTACTCTTTTGTGTTCTAATTTTGAGAAGGATAAGCACGTTTTGAAAAAGATTAATATTTTTAAATTCCTTGATATCATTATGCTCTGTAATAATTACTTTTATGTGCATTTTGAGAGACTGAAACATGTGCTACATGTTCTAGGGAAAGAAATATTGGATTCTGATTTGAACAAATACTTGTCTTGCACATATGATCCTGGTATTTTAGTTTATGTTTTAAGTGTCCAGGAAAAACAGATTCAGTCACAAAGAAATAAAATCTTTGACCGTGCTCATCAGCCTAAGATTTGGAGATGCATATACTTGAGAAAAATAATTTCAAAACTCCAAAAAAGTTTCCTTCTAAAATTTTCCTTCACTGAATTTTACATGATCTTTAAGTTCTTTTTGTCTGAATCATTTTCTTTTGATACAGTTAAACTGGATTTGAGGTCAAATAATTTTCAAGAGGGAGGAAATGATGTGCCCTTGGGTAGAGCACTAGGCAAAACAAACATACATGGCTCGATCATGGGAAGCAATAAAGATATATGTTCATTGTTTGACTCATATCTTCCAAAACACGAGGCTTCTACGCATGAAATCACTTGGAGAATGTTCTCAACTCAATTACAGAGTTCCTCAAAGAAGAATCAGATCAAACGGAGTTTAGATGTGAAAGTTATGTCATTTACAAATCAGATGATCGTCAGTTCTCGCGAATTGAGACATGTGCATATTCAAGTGAGCTGGACCGATACTACTTTAGAGCTGTATGAACTGAGCGAACTAAGTGACACTATCTTGGAGCTGAATGAGATAAGTGACACTAAATATGGAGCTGGTTAAGCTGTTGGGCGAAATGAGACTTTTCATCCCAAAGAAAAGTTCATAAAAGTTTCATTATGGGTTTGTTTTACTCCAAATTCGACCAGCCCTTTCCTCAGTCCATTTCAAGTCCATTCTCATCAAGAATACCAAGAAGAAATCAACAAATAAGTCCTGGCCGTGGCTATATCAAGAGGCAGTCCACGTTTCAGTCAAAGACTTTATTTAGTCAAGTCTTTGTTTCTATTTTCAATCCATTGTTTTTAGTACATTCTTCTTTGGAATTCTACAACTTGCAATCCTATAAATATGGCCTATGAGCCACGAAATTAATCAGATTGTTTTCTCCTTTTTATCAGTTTATCTCTTTTTGTTCTTTGTAGAACATTTCTTAGTTTCTTGGTGAGATTATCTCCAAGTTTCGATTCTTCTTTTGTTGGACCGGTGCGTTATATCCGGTAACGATCAAAGTCTGGTAGCATCGTTGGGCATTCTGCAATCCTTTGTGTCACCGTTCAATCCACCAGTTCTCCTTTTTGGCGAGTTCACATCCTTTCAGTCCGTTTGAGTGATCCTTCCCGATTTAGGGCTTATAATTGTCAAGCTCGCCGGTTTTATTTTGTTAGGGATGTATTATTTTGTTTCCGGGGTTTTATCTCTTATCCGCCGGCTTTGGTTCCGGAGATTGTTTTTTATCAGCTGGCTTAGTTTCCGGGAGTTGTCAAGCTCGCCGGTTTTGTATTCCATCTTCTATCAGCCTATGTACTTTGGTTTCTTTGTTAATACAATCTCCAGTGTTTAATAAAAAAAAACAATGAAATAATTGGAAATAAGTGATATGAAAAAAAAATGTATGCATTGTCTTGATTATTATTTCACTTTCTAGTGAGGTGTGTGTTTAATTTGAAATAGTAGAGAAAAGAAGAAGACAAGACAGGGATTCTGATATGTGGTCTTCGGTAATAGAAGATCCCTCTTCACATCTTGGATCTTACTTGCTGGACGAGTTCTCTTCTCAAGAGTTTACCAGCAGCAGATTTTGGAACACTGCTAACGAAGCTCACTCTTCGTAGTCTTTTATAAGGAGCAACCTAATTAAAGCAAATAAAGAGAGTTGATTTTAGCTTTGGAGAACAAAACATATGGATACAAACTGATTCAAAAGGCTTTGAAAACGAAGTTATCAAACCTGTTTGGCTATGAACTTTTGAACATCTTCCTCTGATATTGAGGTTTTCGGTGACCGTACAACAAATGCAATTGGAACTTCACCCGCATAAACATCAGGGAACCTTCAACGTTTAGATATATAAACATGTTTAGGACATTGAACAAACTTGGTATTGAATAAGTGAATTAATGACTTACGGGATAACGATAGCGTCTAGTAATTCAGGATGGGATACAAGAAGAGCTTCTAGCTCAGCTGGTGCAACCTATATATATCAAACCATTTGTTATGATTTCATAAGTGACACGAAATAAAAAAAGAAGAGATCAGCGTTAAGATATGAAAGTGAAACCTGGAAACCGTTGCATTTGATAAGTTCTTTGATTCGTTCGACGATGAAAAGGTTACCATCCTCGTTAAAGTATCCAAGATCTCCGGTATGTACCCAACCATTGTCATCTATAGTTTCTTTAGTAGCTTCAGCGTTATTGAGATAACCTGAAACATTATTTGGTTTTACATGATTCTTCAAATGCACGGATATATATATAAATGTAGGTATGGAATGTTTTCAAACCTTTCATCATGTTAGGTCCTCGAACCCATATCTCGCCTTGTTGATTCGGAGGTTGAAGTGTTCCAGATCCTACACTGACCACCTGAGCTTCAATACCTGAAGCAAGCATCCCAGCTGAACCAGAGTTTCTTTTCCCGCGTCTCGGGTCTTCCATAGAGACTATTCCACACGTTTCAGTCATTGCGTAGCCCTAAAGTAACCACAAAACATAAAGAAATTGTAACACCCGTCTCATCCTCTTTCGAAACGATTTGCCAACACTTATCTCAATTTCTAATAATTTTATTTAGCATAAATATTATCATAAACTTAATAATTTTTACCAATAATCAATTAACTGAATTAAACCATATTGTAAAACCGAATAAACTACCAAAAAGTTAAATAAATCATTCAAAGGATCATCCTATAAGAGATTCACTCTGCTGAACTATTCTTATACATTTTGGCTTGGTTCTTAACTAGCAAACATCAATGAATTAGCTAACATGTAAGTCTATTAAAGACGCATATCTAGTTATAAGGAAATGATATATGTAACTATGTTTTTGTTACCTGCATAAGCACAACATTAGGGATGTTTCTTGCACACTCCTCCATCGAATCTTTCCCAAGAGGAGCAGCTCCTGATCCAATGTACTTAAGTGAAGAAAGATCATACTTCTTCACAATACTTTGCTTGGCAAGAGCAAGGAACACAGGTGGAACAACCCAAAGCTGAGTGACTCTATACTTCTCAATGTTCTGAAGTAGCTTCACGAGATCGAACTTCGCCATGGAGATCACAGCATTCCCTCTCTGAAGCTGTGCATAAGTAACCACACTCAACCCAAACACATGGAACATGGGAAGAAAACACAAGAACACACCGTGATACTCTCCCATGAGATCTTGATCCATCGTCACCATCAGAGCCGTTGCTATGAAGTTCCCGTGAGTTAGCTCCACACCTTTGCTCATTCCCGTAGTTCCAGAGGAATACAACAGTGCAGCCGTGTCCGATTGCTTGACATCCACGTAAGGTAGATCTGAAACTGGCTCGGACAGCTCCATCACGTTCTTTAAACTAAGGATCTCGGAAGAACTCGAGTCAAGACTACTCTGTCCGAGTAGCACGATGGGGAGATCAAAAGTCTTGACCTTTTCGAGCAGTTCTTGAACGGTGATGATGATCTTAGGGTTACAGTCTTTGACCTGCTTTGAAACCTCATTGACAGTGTAAGCAGGATTCACGGTGGTGAAAACGCCGCCGATCGCTGTTACGGCGAGGAAACAGAGAGGGAACTGGTAAGAGTTTGGTGCGAAGATCATCACGACGTCGTTTTTGCGGATGCCTAGACGGAGAAACCCGTGTGCGAGTCTAGAAACGGTGGACTTGAGCTGAGAGAAGGTTAAAGAGTCGCCGGTGTCAGAGTCAACGAGAGCAAGCTTTGTTGGGTAAGAAGAGGTGTTACGGAAGAGGAAAGAGACTAACGATATGTTGGGATCTTCGGGAAGAACGAGCGTTGGACGAAGTGATCGGTAAATGCCGTCTTTGCCATAGCCGGAGTTCTCCATTCTTTTTTCAGATCGAAGAGGAATGAGGAAGAAGAGACGATGAAGATAACAAGAGAGACAAAGTCTTGTCTTTATATTATGATTACTCAACGTAAACGTCGCATGTCTTAACATGTTACTTTAGTATTTTATATTTGTTTTGCCATAACCACATTCTCATGATTGATGAATAGAGATGGCTTTGAGTCTTTCTTTTTATTTCTTCATTTGTCAACTTTACTAGATTACTACTAAAATAGACGAGACTTTGTCCATTTTAGTAATAATTCATACAGTTGGGATGATCTTTTTATTTTCCTCTTTGTTTTTTTTTTTTGCATATTATATACATATGCATAATACTAATATAATTATCATAAAAATGTGACCAGGGCGGCTTAGTATAAGAGCCATCCCAAATATTAAAACCTCTAATATATAATTAGGTCTAAAATTTTGGTTATGCTTCCGCTCTTAAATTTTACTAGATGTTATCCGCGGGTGTTTGATTTAACTTGTGTTAAACGTAAATTCATAAACCGCTGATTTTATAAAATAAAGTTTCATATATATTTTATGTTATGTAATTTACATATAGGGTAAAATATATTAATTTATAATATAGATGTTTGATAATATTTTTTATTTGTACATAATATTATATTAAGAATTTTATAACTTGGTGTAATTGTACGAATCATATATTAATCTGTTTTTTTGTTAATTTCTTTTAAAATGAAATAATATACTAATTTTTTAAAAATTTTGCATTAATTTCCTATGAATTATTATTAACTTTATAATATTTTATTTTCATGAAAATTGAACTCTCAGATTTTTTATTTGATTAAATTAAATAAAGTAATACTATATTTAAAAATTATTTTATATAATATATACTATATTGTGATTGATATTTCTATATTATCAATAATATCATTAGATTTAGAATTATAATTAACTAGTTTAAATTGATTTTAAATGTAATGGTAGAATATGTAAATAAAAAGAAATACAGAAAGGAAATACTTAATTTATTGCAAACACAATGCCTAAATATGTAAATAAAAAGAAATATTAAAAGGACATTGCTATTCATGTTTCCAAACATATTTTGTTTTTCTTATTGTTATCCTTGTTTCCAAATAGTACCAAAAGGTACTTCAATTTTAATAATATAGATAATTGATATTTCTATATTATCAATAATATCATTAGCTTTAGAATTATAATTAACTAATTTAAATTGATTTTAAATGTAGTGGTAGAATCTGTTAATAAAAAGAAACACAAAAGGAAATATTTAATTTATCGCAAATGCAATGTCTAAATATGTAAATAAAAAGAAATATTAAAAGGATATTTCTATTCATGTTTCCAAACATACTTCTTTTTATTATTGTTATCCTTGTTTCCAAACAATACCAAAATGTACTTCAGTTTTAATAATATAGATTAGCTGGACCTCAAGATAACAAGATATTTAATTAATCGCAAACGCAATGTTTAAATATGTAAATAAAAATAAATATTAAAAGGACATTTCTATTCATGTTTCCAAATATACTTCTTTTTAGTATTGTTATCCTTGTTTCCAAACAATACCAAAAAGTATTTCAGTTTTAATAATATAGATTAGCCGGACCTCAAGATAACAAGATAGAAAATATAAGTCTTGTCTTTATATTATGATTACTCAAACGTAAACGTCGCATGTCTTAACATGTTGCTGTAGTACTTTACCAGGTAGTAATCCGCGCTGTGCGTAGAATGAAATAGTTTATAGATTATATATTGTATCATTGTATTTATAGATTTATCATATAATCTTTTAGGTATGAATTTTCATACACCTATTCATATTCAGTTAGTTTATTCAGATTTCGGATTTTTTTGAGTTGGAAATTTAAATCTTATTCGAATATTTAAAAATTTTAGTTTACATTTGGTTAGAATCATTTTGGGTTCAATTTAGATTCGATTATGTATGTTCATTTTAATTACATATTTTCAACAAAAATTCAAATATACTTAAGTCCTTAAAATCCAAAAATAAAATAATATAAAACATAAAAAAATAGAATAATATAGGACTAAATATTTCAATTTACAGAAAATTTAGTTCAATTTAAATATTTGGATAAGAACAAATAAATATTATTAATATTTTGAACATTTGCTGTTATTTCTAGATATTTACTTGTGATTATGTTGTAATTTTTAGATATTTTCATATTTCTGAATATCTAATAAATTTAAAATTTAAAATAATTAATATATTTAAGTATATAATGATGAATTATATATTTTGATATCCAAAATAGTTCAGTTTGTATTAGATTCGAGTCAGGTTATCTGGATATTAAAATTTTAGATCCATCAGATTACTTAATTAGTTTTATTCTGTGTTTGATAATACTTTTAAATCTAGTTTTTTTCGGTTCGTCGGATTAATATATTTATCCATAATTACTTTTTTCTACTAATATAAAGAAATAAATATTAAACAAATATCTTAGCTTATTTAACATTCATAATCATTAAACTATATTTTAAGAATAATAAAAATGATTGGACGCCGTGTCAATATTATTGGGCATGTTGCAAAATTGGCATGGTTCTCTTTTACGTTTAATAATACTATACGAATTAAAAAAAATCTTACACAAAATTAAAAATATATTTCATAAGTAATTTATTTATTTAGTAACAACTATATCAAAATTCTTATAATTTGCAAACGTAAAAATAGTTACTTATTTTTTTCAATTTCTCTTGATCTTATACAATATTGAAAATAAATATTTCAAACTCAAAATCATAATATTCCAGTTTTAAAAGGATATAATCATAGAAGCTAAAGTATAATTTTTTGGATGAATAGTCTAGAAAATCTTACTTTGTGACCAATAACTTATATTTTCTTAAAAAAATTCTTAGAAATTATAGTAAAAACACTATACAATTGAGGGAAATGTGCTAGAGTTAACTGTAAAATAATATGATCTCTTCACTCGGCACCTGAATTATGTTTTCAGTCGATATTACGAATATTATTTCCTTTTAAAACGTAATATTTTTTTATTTTTTTAGTAATTTGATTATGTTCTAATTCTTGGTATGATATGAAAACTTCGTAAAGAAAATAAAAATTGGCTAAACTAAAGATCTGAATTCGTGTGTAGTGTTTTTTATTTCAGTTTTCTTAATTCATAACTAATCACAATTATTTATTGCTTTCGTGAAAATAAACCTCAACCATAGCCAAGTTCGGCAATATATGAAATTTTCATTTTCTAAGAACATTCTCATTCCAATATTTTAATTGATGTGAATCTTAATGATTTTTTATTTATTTCATTTAGAATGATACATTCAAGAGTTTGACAAATAGAATTTTAGTAAATATGTTACCAAAGAAAAATGAACTCCATCAAATCTATATTGGTAAAGTTGAAATGCCAATATGAACTAACCTTTCACTTTTACTTTTCATTTGGTATATCATTATTCATGTTAATCTTCTCTTGGTAGGAGAATTTTATTTTTACTTTATATTTTTTTTTTGGGCAATCTTTTTTTTTACTTTATATTTGATACCATTATTCATGGTTACATTCTCTAAATGAATATATTCAAAATATTTGAACATGAGGCTCCATCAAGGAGTCAAAATTCATTGGAAAATTGTTTTTTTAGGTCAAAAAATTGTAACATTGTCTCTTTAGGCTAATTTTTATTTTGTACCATTTTTTCCTCCAACGCCTTTAATATTTCTGAAAATAAATTAAATAAATAGTCTTACAAACCAAAACGAAAATCAGAAAATAGTAATTTATGAAACACCTATGTCAATTTAGTGGTATTTTTTCAAGTTCTAAAAATATATAAATCATTTTTTGAAATTATGTTCTACATAAACTAGAATTGGCATTTTACAAAGTAGAAAATGAAATGCACTTTTTTTTTATTGAATCTACTATGTTTAGAATATGTGATCTACGTACATAGAAGTTTTTAGAATACACATTCCGCGCTTAAACTGTTCTTTTAAAATCAGTAGAAAACAGAATCTACACATTACTATAAAATATAAAATAAGTAGAAATCAGAATCTACACATTATTATAAATCTAAAACCCGTAGAACTTGATTTTAAACATTATTATTGTATTCTACATATAGTAGAAAACACATTCTACGGATAAGAATATTCAACTCCGAAAATATGGAAAGAAAATATTTGAAAATATTCAATTTCCATAAATAAAAATTGCTTTTTATTAAAAAGAAAAAAAAAAAATTAAAAACGTGCTTTGGAATCGACCGTATGGATCGACCGACTGTTTTGGGGATCGATCGATCCCGTTGGATGGAGCAGTTTCTACTTTTCGTTTTTTTTTTCCGATTTGAGAATTTTGATTTTTTGATTTTTTTATGATTTTTTATTTGAAATTAAGGGTATTATTGTTATTTAAAAAACATTTAGCCTAATAGGACATAAAATATATGAGATTAGCCTAAAAGGATAATGTTACCATTTTTTGGCCTAAAAATATTTTTTTCCCAAATTCGTTCATGTCCTTGGTTTATAGATATAAATAATTATTTAAATAAATAAATTATATTAAAAAAAAACAAAATATTTTTCAATATTTTTTTCAATTTTAATTTTTCAAATTTAAACTTTTTATAAAAAAATAATTTAGAATTTTTTTTTATTTTATTTCGATTTTTTGTTTTTCAAATTTTCGTATTGAATTCAAAAATTCTTTTGAAATTATTTTTATTTCTTTATTTAATTTTAAATATTTATTTCTATTTTTATTAAACTTCTAAACCCTAGCTTCCAAAACTTCACTCCTCAAATCTAAACTTTAAATCAAGATTAGTTAACATCAAGATATACATATGCTTTTAAAAGTTAAAATAAATATCCATACATGTGTACGGGTCAAAATTTAGTCTTAAGTAAATCTGTCAAAATATAATAAGTTTCGCCCAAAAAAAAATCAGTCTATCAAATTTTAATTAAATTTGTCAAACGGAGTAAATTTGTGATCAAAAGAAAATAAATGTGTCGAATTCTAACTATATCTGTTAAATTGAAGTAAAATTGTGATAAAAGAAAATGTAAGTATGTCAATGCTATATAAATCTATCAAAATTTAATAAACTTGTGGCCAAAAAACTAAATTTGTTAAATCTTTTTTTTTTAGATCTGTCAAAATTAACAAAATTTGTAGCCAAAGCCTAAAAACTTTGTCAACACAAGTGTTAAATTTATAAAATCTGTGGCTAAAGAACAACAAATATTTCAAAAATAAGTTTGTAACTACATAAAACGTAAATATTCTTTTCTGTAACATAAAAACTAATGGAAAAATACGTATCAAAAAGAAACTAGTAATTAAAACAAACTAGAGTTAGTCTATTCCTAAAAGATAGACTTTCTAGTGTTTGCACACATATTAAGAAAACACATTAAATTATAGCTATGGGATTATTTAATTTAGTCAACTGTAATGAATTCCGTTCTTAATATTATTGCATCTTATCAATGAAAAAAACCCCACTTAATAAAATTATACTCCTTCTGTTTCATAAAAAATATCACTTGAAAATTTTGCACACATAGGGGATGATTGGTTGAACTGTAGCTGTAAAATTTTTACTACAGAAATTAGTATGTAAAATTTTTTTGATTTAGCTGTAAAAGATGTAGCTTTAAAATGTATTGCTACAGCAACATATTTTCTACATCAAAAAGATGTGGCTTTAGAAAATTAGGATTTTACAACCATTTTTAAAATTTTTGGCTGTAACTTAAAAATAAGATAAAGCATGATCGGTGATTTAAGTGATGTAGATAAAAATTAAAGCTAAAGTCAGCACTTACAATCCAACCAATCACCCTTCTTAGTTTTCTTTTGTAAACTACACTTAAGAGAGATTATATTTTGAAAATTAGGCCTTCTTAATTTTCTTTTGTAAACTACACTTATTTATAACTGAAATGACTAAACTATCCAATTTAAAATAATCATATTACCATATACTTACTACTTTTATTAAAAAATAGAAACAATCGATTTTGTATTCTTTTTCAGTAATACTCTTAATATATTTTATAATATAAAATATTTAATTTTCTCCACTCGCTGCTTCCTAAACAACTCTTCAACATTTCATCACGGTTTAGCCATAACCTTGTTCATAAAGATCTTTTATAAACATAAGCCAACCAATCAATGATAGTGTTTTCCAAATAACTAAATGAACTTTCGATTAATCTGAAGATTGCTTTTGTTTTGATATACAGTACACATGAAACAAACCAGATAATATCTGACAATCAAACAATGTGTTGATATATATATATTTTTTAAAAATTATTTCTTTATAGCAGGAATGATCTGAAACTGAAAGTTTGGGATTTTTCTCTGGTGCAAATGAAGAAGATGAAAAAAGGAGAATACTTAGTCCTAGAGATGGAAATTATGGATCTGGACCGCGGGCCTAGTCCGTAAAGAACTGTCGCGGGTGGATATTGGACGAGGTTTTCTAGGCCCACAAATTTGCGGTTCTTGCGGGATGGGTCTTTGCGGGATAGGTCTTTGCGGGATTGGGTCTTTTACGGGATGGGCCGAACGGATCCCGCAGGATTACAAGGACCCGCATTTTTTTTCTTTATTTTTTGTTTTACCTGGAAAAAACGAGAGAATGAGTGAGAAGATGACGATTCATGTGACTTCCCTTGAGAAACCGTAAAGAGCTCGGGCGATGATGATGATTTGAGCTTCGGTGATAATGATTTGAGCTCCGGTGATGACGACTACAGCTCCAGCAATGACGATTCGAGCTTTAGTAGTGTTTTGCTTTGTTTTTTTTTTTAATTTGGGATTGACATTTTTGATTTAGTGTTTCATTTTATTTAATTTTTGGATTCAGCAAACTAAAACATTGGTTATGAACTTATGAATTACAAGATAATGAAAAATATTTTCTGCAATTATTTTTACTTTGTATGTTCATATGTTTTAGGTGTGATACAAATAATTACAATTATTGTTTTGAATAAACAAATAACAAATCAATGATTGATGAATTATGTTCAGTTGAATCGAAGACTTGAACTATGTCTTAAAATGGTCTAAAGCGTTTTGGAGGGGTCTGAATCGTTCAGCTGCGCATATTATCACATGTCCAGCGATACGGCCCGCGAAGGCCTACAAAAAATGCGGTACGGGATTGGGCCACTGTTTTCAAGACCGCATCCCTCGCGGGACAGGCCCGCCACGTCCCGCTAGAAGACAAATCCACAGCGGTCCGGGACGGGACGAGACGTGAGAGCCCAAAGTTCAGATCTAAGTTAGTCCGTTTGATCATGATGAGGATGTCGTCATCTTTAAATGAAAGTTTGAGGGTTACGTAATTACTATAACTTTTAATAATAATTTTAGCGTTTAAAATAAATTAAAAATTTTAATTTCTAATTAAGATTAGGACAAAAGTGTCTTATCACATAAAATAAAGTGTAATCTTCAAAAAATAAAACAGAAGCATATTATTCCAAATTCAAACAAAAATAGGGTATTTTTCAAATTATCCCCAGTAAAAATTATTAGAGTACACTATTTCACCGTTTGTTCACACGGTAAATAAATTTATCTTTCTAATTAATGCATTAAATAGAGATAAAACTGAACTTTTATTTAAAGTTTTACATTAAAAATATAAAATGACATTCTATATAAAACGAAAAAAAAAAAAATTGTGCGAAACAGGGAGTATAGGTAACCCTATGAAACTAAAAACAAATACTATTTCAATTTCAAACACTTAAATTAAAAAATCTCCACGTCAAGTCTCGGCAAACTCCTACTATGCCTATAAAGATGCTCTTTTAGTTGTCTCTTTGGGCGACAATCACGGTTAACAAAATTAGTAAACAATTAATTTGATCATGTGTGTTGTCCCAAAGACTTCCAACACGATATTATTATTATATTGTTAAAAAGAAAGACTTCAGTATTCCATTATTTCAAACCATTGATTCTTGACAGAAGAATGAATACTCACTTTGAGTAACAATGGCAGCAAGGTTCATCGTCGACTTTCAAAATTGTTCTATCTTCTTCATCCTCTGCCTCTTTTCTTTCCTCTGTTACTCTTTCTTCTTCAAGAAACGAAATAACTCACAAGCTTATTGTGATCTGCCTCCTAGCCCTCCCTCTCTTCCGATCATCGGCCATCTTCACCTTCTCCTCTCTCTTCTAGCCCACAAATCTTTACAGAAACTCTCCTCCAAGTACGGACCTCTCCTCCATCTTCGTGTCTTCAGTGTCCCCATACTCCTCGTCTCCTCTGCATCGATAGCCTATGAGATCTTCAAGACGCAAGACGTGAACGTTTCCACTCGCAGCCTCCCTACGAACGAAGGGTCTCTCTTCTTTGGATCTTCAGGCTTCGTTACCACACCTTACGGAGGTTACTGGAAATTCATAAAGAAGCTCGTCACCACCAAGCTCCTTGGACCTCAAGCTCTCGAGAGGTCACGAGGCATCCGCGCTGATGAGGTAAACCGGTTTTACTTGAACCTTTTACATAAGGCAACGAAGAAGGAGAGCGTTGAGATTGCTGAGGAAGCTATGAAGCTAATAAGCAACAACATATGCAAGATGCTTATGGGAAATAGTTTTTCAGAGGACGAAGAGAAAGTGAGGGGCTTAGTGACTGAAACAGATGTCTTAACAAAGAAGTTTTTCTTGGCGGCTATCTTGCGCAAGCCGCTTGCCAAGCTTGGGGTCTCACTTTTCAAAAAGGATTTAGACAGTATTTCCCGCAGGTACGACGAGGTGCTGGAGAAGAGTCTTTCGGAGTATGAGGAGCATAATCAAAGTGCTGAGATGTTGGACGTACTATTAGAAGCTTGTCAAGGTAAAACAGAAGAGTATAAGATCACTAGGAACCAGAGTATTTATACAGAGTATTTATACAAGATGGATGAGACTCGAAGAGTATAAGATCACTAGGAAAATCGAAGAAGGTAAGGTTAACATGGATGAGACTCCTGGGGCAATGACGTTGACTATGGCTCATCCCCTTAAGTGCACTCCTCTTCTTCGACATCTACACCCGTTACCTTCCATTGTGTAGATTTCCAGTTTGTGCTTGCTTTTCAGATCTTATTCGATACACACTGAAGAAGGAAGGACAATGTTAATGCATGACATTGTTATTATTACTATCATGATTATGTATGCCATTTTTGGTTTATGCCTACATGGGAAAATATTTTTTTTTTTCTTTTACTTTTGAGAGGAGGTTCATCGTCTTTTCTGTTCGCCGGTTTCTGTCTGGTGCTGCCTCTGCCTCTCGTAGATTGGACTTTGTCTCTGGCAACCGATGGCTACCAGAGCATCGTGTTGGCCAGCTTGTGTCTCTAGAGATTTCATCATCCATGTATGTGTTAAGATTAAGCTACTGGAACTTCGTGTTACTCTTAATAACAAGCAAATTACAACCCAAGACTCTCCAATCTCATGAAGATTGAAGATAAGATCTCATGCCGATCTCTAAGCTCATCAAGCTTTAGTTTCAGATTACAATTTGCATAAGGAAATGTAAAATATCTACCAGAGTATTTATACAAGATATTTCTTCCGCTTTATTTAAAATTGCAAACCCTCTTCAATCTGAAAACTCTTCTCAAACAAAGTCAAATAATAAATAAACTCCGCCTTTGACTTGCTTTGACTCCAATTCCACTTGCTCAAGCAACTCTGAATCTTTCTTCTTCTTCTTCTTCTTTCAGAAATAAGCTTGATGGATCCTATCAGTATGATGTTCATAGCTAGCTTCCTCACCGGATTCTTCCGATTTTGTTTGTTTGATGTTTTTAGTTTTTGATTCCGTTTTATCATTTTTCTGTATCATCGTTCAGATTTAATTGGGTTTTGTTCTTTAGATCGAAAAGCTTCTATCTTTTCCATCTCTAATGGTTTGGTCGTCTTCGAGCTTATCTGGATTTATTAAGATGATGGTGGTTGCATGTTCAGGATTTGAAGCCTATTAGGTGTTTAGGTAGTCTTGGATTCAGTTTAATCATTTTTTCTTTTCGATCGTATAAAGCGATGGTCTTTCGAAATCTGTTGCGCCTTCACTTAAGACCGATTCAAATCAACTAGTGACAGTTGTTAAGAAAACAAGCTTCTCTGATCTTTTTGGAGTCATATCTGATAGTTTTCTTTTGTCGGGACTTTTTGCTGTAGCTATATATAGGTTGTGCACTCGTGACTCTTTGACTGTAGATTTGACCTTACGAGCTTTTGCATCAGAACCCATTTAAACTGCTAATAAAATTTGGAAAGACTAATAATGTGTCAACTAAGGTTTGGTCAATGCAAATATGAATTGTTTTTTTTTCATATTTGATTGAAAGTCGGAAATGTGTTTATGAGTTGAATAATTCTGTAATTTCATTTCTGCATAATATTTTTTAGAAATATGATAAGATACTACATAATAAAAATCAGTGAATTGTGTACCAAATCACAGATGTACTTTTATTATTTATAAACAATAGTGTTGATATTGGGTTTCATTGTTCATAGTACCAGCTTGTAATATAAAATTGACAAAAACACACAGATTTAGACAGTTCAATCAGAGACACGCCTCAAAGGACGACGATGACTTTCCCAATTCTCTTAAACCAGCTAAGAAGCCCCACCCGGATCCGAATCCGTTTTGGTTCTGTATTGTTCTTCTACACCAGGAACAACCATACCAGGATGATGATGATGATACATCTGAACCGGACCGGGTGTTTTCATACCATAATAAGCTCCCCGGTTAACTCCATCAACTGCCATCATAACCGGCCTACCCGTGTCACCATACACTTGACCCAGACCAGGAATCTGATGAGGCTGTGGTTGGTGATGGTATCCCATCGGTACATGCTGGTATTGTGGAATATACTGAACCGGATGAACCAAATGATTACCCGGTTGAACCAAATGATTACCCGGTTGAACCATATGATTTCCCGGTTGAACCATATAAACCGGTGACTGGTAATGAATCTGTGGGCCAGGGGCGGCGTATTGCCATCGCGAGTTAACCGGAATATTACTCTGTTGAATTACTTGCTCCGGTTGAAGATCGGCTTTTGGAGTCAAAACCGGTTCTAGACTTTCCGGTTTAGTTTTAACCACTGTAGATGACGTGATCACATGAGCCGAAGAGGTTGAACCATACGGCGAAGGAACCTCACGACGAGGCGAACCAGGATCCGAAAGCGTCGAGACTTCCCGTCGGATCTTAGCTCTCGGATCACGATCGTGCGGCGGAGCAGTCTCGTCGAAATTATCCAACCCGAAGAGGTAATCAGGAACCTCGGAGACGATCGAGGAGACTTCCGATCTGACGCGCTCGAAACCTTTGCCGGAGCCACCGTTAGATACGGCGGAGGAGCCGTGATTGAGAGCGTCGAGGAACCATTGATCGCGATTGACGGAGCTATCGAGGAGAGAGCTGATGCTGCTCGCTCGACTATCGTTATCGTCTTCTTCTCCGGCGATGTTTTTGGTGAAGAGGAAGAGACGGAGACGCGAGGAGCGTGGGTTTTGATTCTGTGCGACGCGGTCGTATTCTTCCATCATGTTCTCTACATCCTCGTCCGTTGATACGGAGATCAACGCGTCAAGATCCTCGTTTGGTAGCTGGTACTTGACGCTGATATTGCTTTTACCTAAAATCCTTAACCGGATTAGATAATTTAATTTGAACCGGTCCCGATTTAATCGCGAAGGAATCATTTGCTTACCGGAGATTTTAGAAAGTTTAGTGAGGAGAGAGGCGAAAGTAGTGTGACGATTTACCGCGACAATACGATTATCTCCGCCGACGTAGGAGAGCTGGTTATCGGGCGAGCGAGGCAAGATCTTTCCTCCGAAAGTGCACATGAACCGTACACGTGGCTGGCTATCGTGCTCCGATCTCGGCGATGACGCCATTGAGTCGTTGTCCATCTCCGGCGGAAGGACCGAAGTCATTTTTTCAGCTCTCTCTTTCTTCTCTTTGTCGCCGGGTATTTTGTTTGTTTTGAGACTTTAGTTTGGATTCGATGCAATAATTAAAAGGGTGAATGGTCGGGAATAATATAGGTTAGAGAGACGGGACTGTCATGGACCGCATTATCATAACACGACTATTTCGGATGTGAAGATTAACCGTTTTTAAAATGTATTTCAGTGTGTTCTTTTTTTTTTTACGGTTAAAAATGTTCACCAACTTTTTATGATCCAGTTTGTAATCAAAACTAATTTCCATAACCCGTAAGAATCATATATTCTTATCATTTAAAGCATTTATAATGGTTAATTAGATTTTGATCTACGCTTAAAAAAGATTCTTATTTCTATAAGTTAGTAGAATATATCAAGTTGCCAATAACATAATATTAATTTTATAAATATTTTTTTAATATTATATGAATATTATTATATAGAAGCTATAATATTTATTCAAAAAAATGCATAGATTTTATATAGTCATTAAAGAATATTTGAAACATTTGATATGATTTATGTCAATTGTTTAAAAATCATGATTTTTTTTTGTAAATACATTTGACTGAAATAAATGTGAGTTTACTAAGATATAATAAAATTTAATTGTTACAATAAATGAGATTAATTAAGATATTTAGTTATATTTAATAGGTAGACTAACAAATGAATATGTCCAAACAACAAATGAATATGTCCAAACAACTTTTTAAATAGATTTTTTGGAATGATTATCTAATAGTATATATATAATGAAGATTTTGAGAATCCAAAATTAGGAAAATGTATATAAAATATCTTTAGGGCAATTATGGATCTGGACCGTGGGTCTTGCCCGTAAAAAACTGTCGTGGGACGGTATTGGGATGATGTTTTCTATGCCCGCAAATTTGCGGGCCTTGCAGGATGGGTCTTTGCGGGACTGGGTCATATGCGGGATGGGCCGAAACGAGTCATGCGGGATTACAAGGACCTGCATTTTATTTTCTTTTTTTTTTACCTGGAAAAAACGAGAGAATGAGTGAGAAGAGGACGATTCATGTGACTTCCCTTGAGAAAACGTAAGGAGCTCGGGCGATGATGATGAGTTGAGCTTCGGTGATAATGATTCGAGCTCCGGTGATGACGACTACAGCTCCAGCGATGACGATTCAAGCTTTAGTAGTGTTTTGATTTAGTTTCTTTTTTATTTAATTTGAGATTGAAATTTTTGATTTAGTGTTTCATTTTATTAAATTTTTGGATTCATCAAACTAAAACATTGGTTATGAACTTATGAGTTATATGATAATGAAAAATATTTTCTGCAATTATTTTTACTTTGTATGTTAATATGTTTTGGGTGTGATACAAATAATTACAGTTATTGTTTTGAATAAACAAATAAGAAAATCAATGATTGATGAATTATGTTCAGTTGAATTGACGACTTGAACTATGTCTTAAAATGGTCTAAAGCGTTTCGGAGGGGTCTGAATCGTTCAGCTGCGCATATTATCACATGTCCCGCGGTACGGCCCGCGAAGGCCTACAAGAAATGCGGTACGGGATTGGGCCGCTGTTTTCAAGACTGCATCCCGCGCGGGACAGGCCCGCCGCGTCCCGCTAGAAGACAAACCCGCAGCGGTCCGGGACGGGACAGGACGGGAGAGCCCAATTGCCATCTCTAGATGGGGTAACCGGTGACAAAAGAATTGATAAAAATAATGTATTCCTTAATATTCTTAAAAATATACCATTTATAAAGAATAATTTTTTCTTTCCATTCCTCCTTGATCATTTTACTATAGAAAAATATAGTGTTAATTTGTTCATCATTAAATTTGATAAGGAATAATTATTCATCATTATTCTTATAATTTTATGTTTTTATTCCTCTATATTTTTTCCTATTCTTTACTAATGTTCCTATGATGGTTACCTGTTAATCCCATATATATTGTTAGATTAGTCGTAAAAAGTTTTTAATGAATAAATAAATAGCATTGAATAACTGTTCAGAATTTTCGGTGAATTACAGAACAACTGTTTTTGTGTGAAACTTGTAATTATGATTTCTTTTTACAACAATAACTAAACTGATATATGTCCTATCGGTATGGAAAGCCAAACCGGTGGCATAGAAAGAACATAGCTGAAAGAGAACTCCGAGCACCTCATGCAAGCTTGTCCGCCACAAGATTAGTTGCTCTTCGTATATGTCGAATCTTGAAAGTAGGAAAGAAATCTTACTGCGCCGGAACTCCTCCAGATATATAAAAAAAGCTGGCCATTCGCCAGGGAGTACATCATCTTCACCAATTGAGAACAGTCTAGTGCAAAAACTACATCTGAATAATCAAGGGTCTTCATGCACTTCATAGCCCATATCAGAGCTTCACATTCTGCATGTAAAGCTGATAAGCTTCTTTGGAGATTCACCGCCCCTATCATCTTCTCTTCTGAACCAACGGCTCTACAAAACCATCCATGCCTTGAGAATTTACCATCTCCTTCCACGCACCATCTATAAACAAACCCTCGATCTCCCAATGATTGCCAGTCCATGGCATGTGGTACCATAATTTTCCTTTTCTAGAAATGTGAGCTGAGCCTCTGTCCATTACTCTCCCTCAACTTCGGTGATTCTAAGATACTCCTGAGGATTTCCATCCCTATTATTAAAAATCTTATTGTTTCTATTTATCCAAATGTACCATAATATCCATGGAAAGTTACTAAAACCTTGCTTTATTGGCAGTCTCCAAAAGAGATAATCCATATTAATAAATACTGAAGAATTTGGGAAGATATCGGGGGAAGAAGGGATTTTTTATAAACCCCATGTTTGCAAAGCTGGAGGACAGTCAAACAAAGCATGATTAATCGTCTCCTCCTCCGCACCACATATATGACATAGAGTATCACAGTTGATGCCTCGTACCCTTAAGTTTTTAGCAACCGATAGAGTCCCAAGATAACTTGCCAAACAAAATGTTTCAGTTTTGGCAAACATTTTAGTTTTCAAGAAAAAACCAATAGATGTTTAATATCTGGACCATAAGGGCCTATCTCTTGTGCCTTGTCTGGGTATAATGACTCAACCCTATACCCTGACTTAACAGTGTATTTTCCTGACTCTGTGAAAGACCACCCATAAGAATCATGCCTATCATTTCGACTTATAGCTAGACCTCTAATAATTTTGACATCATCTGGGTGTATATATGCGTTAAGCAAATTTACATTCCAAAATTTAGTCAACGGATCGATGAAATCATCCAACTTTAAGAAGGAATTAAAAATTGGGATTGCATTTTTGGTTTAGCTGACCTCGGGCGAGGAGAAAGAATTCACGGATTATTCCATACGGATATGGTTTATCCCGTTCCCATTCTTTTGATTAGCCTTTTGTTTACCAGATATCTACCTGAGCAGATACTTCTCAAGCCATACGATGGTGAATATGATCTGTGAGGATCCAATGGATCTGTATTCCGAAAATATCGGCCTTTAAACACTTGGAAAACAAACAATCTGATTTGTCTATCAACCGCCATAATTGCTTGGCCAGCAAAGCCGTATTAAAATCTTGAAGATCTCGAAAGCTAAGACCTTTATCCTCCTTTGATTTATATACTTTGTCCCAGGATAATCAGTGAATGCCTTTTTTATTGCTCCCGCTACTCCACAAGAAATGAGCAGTAGCCCTTGTAATTTTCTTTGTAACTTCCTTTGGTAATCTAAAACAAGACATGACATGATTTGGCATTGTTGAAGCCAATGATTTTATCATTACTTATTTTCCACCTTTAGTGAGAAATCGGACTGTCCAGATGTTTACTTTAGTATTGATCATTTCATTCAAAAAACCGAAAACTTGTGTTTGGATCCACCCAAACTTTCGGGTATTCCCAAATAATTTCCCATATCTCCCAACTTAGTAATGCCAAGTTTATTTTGTATTTCCACCCACTGAGAATCTGGTACCTTATGACCCACATTGTAGAGATGATTTATCAAAATTTATTAAATGGTCCGATACCGCTTCATAGTCCTTAAGGAGCGTTAGGATAACATCACATTCAACCACATAGGCCTCACAGAAAAACAAACTATCATCCCCAAAGAGTAAATGTGAAAACGCCAGTCCTCCTCGCGATATTTTTAGTCCTTTTTATCGTTTTTCTCTCACCTTTTTCTTAATATTTGCGATTACATCTTCCTTACATAAAATGAATAAGTATGGAGATAGGGGATCTCCTTGTCTTACTGTCTCAGGCACAATACTCCCTTTAGGTTTACCGTTAAGTAAGACCTTATAAGTGGCCGAAGAAATACATGTCATCACCCTGGAAACCCAGACCGGAGAAAAACCCATCTTCAATAATAACCGCTCCATAAAGGACCATTCCACCCTATTGTATGCCTTACTCATGTCTGTTTTTATCGCCATAAATTTTTCTTTACAGGCATTATTTGTTCACAGCCCATGAAACATCTCCTGAGCAACAAGAATTTTATCTGAATTTAACCTTCTTGTGGCAAATGCCGATTGCGTTTCTGAAATAAGATGTGGCAATAAAATTTTCAATCGTCGACACAAAACCTTAGAAATAATCTTGTAGTCGACATTACAAAGACTAATGGGCCTTAACTCTGTCATCCTATTTGGCCTGACTGTTTTGGGAATAAGACAAATATTTGTCGTATTCAGCCTATCGTCAAATAAACCCGAACTAAGAAATTCATTAACCATATTAACCGCATCAGTTTTAATTGCTGTCCAAGATTGTTGATAAAATAATGCCGTCATCCCATCTGGATCCGATCTTTCTTAGGATGAATCATAAATGGTGCTGTCCTAACTTCCTCCTCCGAAACCAAAGTCGTGAGCCTACTATTTTGTACTTCTGTTACCAATTGTGGAACTTCCTCTAGAAACCTAGAAAACTCTGAAGGTAAGGTGGGCAGGAATAAATCATTGAAATATTTAACCGCCACTC